CAGCTTCACAAAAACAGTTGGAGTCTAGGAGTATGGTATGCACTGTGATGTGCCATTATGACTGTTCAAGTGATATATTGTATTATAGGATTGCGGAAGAATGTATCTGCCATGGGAGAGTGTATCTGTCATGAGAGAGTGCATCTGTCACGGGAGAGTGTATCTGTCATGAGAGAGTGTATCTGTCACGGGAGAGTGTATCTGCCATGGGAGAGTGTATCTGTCATGAGAGAGTGCATCTGTCACGGGAGAGTGTATCTGCCATGGGAGAGTGTATCTGTCATGGGAGAGTGTATCTACCACGGGAGAGTGTATCTACCATGGGAGAGTGAATCTACCATGGGAGAGTGTACCTACCATGGGAGAGTGTATCTACCATAGGCGAGTGTATCTACCATAAGAGAGTGTATCTGGCCCCCATGCCTCACAATTTACATACAGTTTGTCACGTGTTGATTCCTCATGTCCTTCTACATACTAATCAATGTGAAATGGAAAGTTTATCTTAAAGTTGCATTGTTGGAAATATGTGTCATATAAATGACTAGGTTTATCTGATAAAGATTGAAATCATCAATCAAGAAATATACTATCTTTATACTATCTGTATAAAGATCTACTTACCTCCTGATAACATTGGCGTGTTTTGCGGTGTCACCCTGATGACCTCTTCCATTGATGTTTGTGATTGCCTGAAAGAAGACTCTCGACTCATTTTAACCTTGCCGCATTGCTTTGGTACAAGGTGCTGGCATTTGTCATGGCAGTTGTAGCCACATTCGCGGCAATTCATACCTGGATGAAAACAAAGCAGAGAACTCTTAAAATCAACAACCTGAATTTATTGAAAAAAAATATTATAGAAGAAAAAAAAAAAAAAACAGGTTTAGGTTTCCCTGCTAGAAATTTCCCCGACTTCATGATACTCAGTGATACCCAAGTAAAATTTTAACTGCTACAAATTGACCAATTTTAACAAAAAATGTGTGTCACAAAACTACAGCTGTTTACAGTATCAAAATTTTAATCATTGTTCAGACATTTTCTGAGTTGTGTTTCTTTGACAGCCAACTCATGACCTCTCACCTTTATATCCTTGTTTGACGATGCCCCATAGTATTCGTTGGCAGTAATCACAGTACGTTGGGGTGACATAACTATGAGGCTCAAAATTATGTGGCTGTGTGTGGGATTTTCCACCTTCTTTTGCCTGTGAGTAAAACAAAAAACAAATTTGTTAAAGCTCATTTGAAAAAGTCTCATTTAACCAAATAAGTATCCATGGCAACCAAAATATATGTGAAATTTTTAGTATAAACACACATAAATTTTGAACAATGTACAACAGTATAAGAGGTCGTCATTACCTTTGTAAGTATTTCAATAGTCGATTTCTTGTGTATAGCCGCTCCGTGCTGTTTGACGAGCTCCGTAGCTAAGGAAGCTCTCCGGTTCTGCATTTCTGCAGGACTCTCCAGTTTATCCCACACAAACTTCCACCTGTTTGGGAGGTGACCCAGGTCAGATTCCAAGTGGCTCATTTCCTGTTGGATAAAACAGTTGGAAACTTGTTATTAAAATTGGATCATCATAAATTGAATTATGTTTCCTTAATTAACCAGCTTTAAGGTAGCGAGGGTGTTATTTGCATACATACATTCATCTTATGATTGCGACTAAATGGCAACGAAAAGACCCAGTAAATTATTTATTTTTCATCTGTATTTGTGACACATGATACGCTGACATAAAATATTCCTTCTTCCAAAAACAAAAAAGCATTTTTTCATACATTTCCTGGTAGTTTAGTAGTCTCAATTCAGTTGTATAAATTCGCCATGTTTTTAAAAGTAGTATGCTGAATTCTAAGATTCAGTTTTAGTCGCATTGAACCCAACTAAACTATCACACATTGAAAAATAATCAATGAAATAGTTTGCCTGAATGCATTCAAGTTCCTCTCAATGTCACTTTAAAGCTGTGTAAATTTGGTTTTAATCTGACGGCACTAAAGCATACGTTATTTTATTACTCCTAGAAAATGTTGATGAAGTTACAGCAATGATTTTCAAGCCTGTTTATCGATGCCAGCGGGTTGTTTTCATGTGAAAATCTGTACAGGCATCAAAAGACAGAAAGCTATTGGAAACAAGTGAATTAAAGGAATGGGCTAGCTATAATTTGGTTAAATTTGCAGATGAAAATGCCAAAATCGCTCGTTTCCATAGTGGTATTGATATGCAATTGAGTGATCAAAGGAACATTTCAAGCAGAGGGTTACCTCACTCTAAGTTAAATATCTAACTTTTGGCCATAAATCACAAATTATGCTCATTTAGATGAGATTAGATTTGGATTAAACTGGAACTTTAAACTAGAATAAAGTAGCATACCTCCAAGAGCCATTGGAACATGTCCAGCTGAGCTTCAGGAATGTTGTCATAACAGACGTTCAGTATTCTCCTGTCTGATGGTAAAAGTGGTCCTTCTTCATTCTCCTCATTGGGTTCTGTCGCCTTGATGACAACCTCCCTGTCGTAAGTCGATCCAGTCCTCAAGTCCTCGCTAATATAGTACTCCCATATCCGGAGACTGGCAATGTTAGAGTAAGGTCTCAACACCTGCAGTAAAGTAGAAACACAAATATTAAAAACAAGAGTGGGTACATGCTTAAGTTTAAGATGAAGCATAGGAGGAAGACCTTCACACTCCAGGGCCTTGCACATGTTGAAAAAATAAGAAATATTGTATTTGCACTTTAGATGTACATTTCCAATAAAAGCACACATCAACTAAAAATTGCATTTATTTTTATGCTGGGTCTTCAATCGAAATACAACCCATTTTGACAATAGACACACCTCTGTTATTTAAGTAAGTGTCTGTGTTTAATAGGGAGATACTCAAAATCAACCTGCTTTGAGGAGCTACTTCGTCATCTGGTGAGCTTTGAGGAGCTCTGTGCTATATGTGAATTGTCTGCAAGAATACTCATGAGCTGAAAATTCAATGCGGTACCTCCTTTTTGTCTGCAGACTAGAGTGATGGAAAACACATTGTTTTAGTTCAATAAAATGTAAATTGCTGTTAAATAGGACAACTTAAACACAAATAAAAAATTCCTGGAAGCGCAAGGGTTTAGCACGACCTACATGTAATTCTTGGCATCGTGTAAATAACGTGTTTGCTTATTCATCAATCAATGTGTTGTTCCCCAATAAAAGCTTACTATAGTGGATCACACTAAAATAAGAAATCATACTTTGCTGACAAACTACTATGCAACTGTATATCATCTAGGTCAGAAGATTAAATATGTGTCAGTGACATTTTCCCAATCACGTAATAACAAACTGTTTTAATGAACGCCTTTGCGTAGATTTCACAAAAGTAAAACATTGGCCAACAAAACAGAACTACCATGTCCCAGTTACGTGTAAATCTAAGTCAGAAATTCAAATTACGTGAATATTATTATAGTCACAAGATGTGTTCACTGACTTTGACGCACTGGCATTAAAACAAATGGAAAATCTCTGACAGATAATGATTGGCTCCTTGAACTTTGAACAAATTTCCCTTAATGCCTTGTGTCTGGGTACATGTAGTTACTCTTTCTATAAATTGATCAATTGAACTTGTTTGTTATCCAGCGGACCTCATTAAGGGCTAATTAGTGAAATCAGTGGAGCTCTTCTGAGCCTTGTTCTCCTGATCACATACCTTACTCGGAGAACAAATAAGATATACAAGAGCCTGTGCATATATTACATGAAACAATAAAAAAACATTACGTCATTGCAGTATCATAACACTTTTGATGCATCATATTTGATATGGTATTTGTATCGATATTCAGCGAATATAGCAGTAAAATAAGTTGTTTTGATAATGCAAGATTTGAACATGCATGATTGCCATTGACAAGTCATTTTACTATGATGATAAGAGAACAAAGAGATCTACTTGTCTTGGCTGGTCACCTATTCCTGTGACAAAATGCGCAACATTTCCATAATATTTCCATCAACTGAAACCTCTAAGAGAAAATTATTCTTTTAATCCAAGTTTATGGACAATGTCAATCACGTACCGAATCTCGGACCGGTGCATACTGGAAGTTGTAGAACAGCGGAGATTTTGAATGGATTCGGTCAATGTATTCCCATAGCGATTTGATCTGAGTTGGTTTTGTACCGCTATTACCAACACAACCCTCGTCCAGCTTCACTGATTTGGTCCTATCATTTATTCCTACAAAAGAATGATCCACTGTATTACATCACTGACACACATACACGAATACATGTGGCTTTGAAAATAAAAAATCAATAAAAACAATAGGCAATATTTAATTTCAAAGTACAACCTGTGAGGGCACCCTTCAAACATTAGTTCAATGTTCAGTTGTGTCATGCTTATGGATCAATAATTCAATACACAATGTATGTAACATAAAATTACAATTTAACAGAATCCACACATGGTGAATAGGATACGCACACCAAATAAAAAAACCAAAAACAAAAAAACATTTTATCAAGGTTAGGTCTGCATGAGTGGTAGTAATTTTGTTACATTCTATATTATCCCTGCGTCCAATGATTACAATGAAACCTTCAAAAATAATGTAAAATTTAACACATTATCCAACACATCCAAATGCATCCCTAAAACTTTCAAACATGGTTAAAATCTATTGTACTCACTTTCATATAATACGATTACAATTCACTTACCGTGTTCAAATCTTTCACATTCTGAGTCTAAGATAAAAGTGCGAAATCTAGCAGAGGTGTAATGATATGCAATAAATTTTAAGAAGTATTGGTTGAACTCAAAGGAGAGTGGAAACTGACTGTGAACCTAAAAAAAAAATGAATAGAATGAATATTGAATTCAGCTTGTTTACTGCTAAACATTGTCGTCTTCTTGGCAAATATGATTAATGAGAGCAAGAGCAACTAACAATGGATTTCTGAAATCTGTTTGCAAAAAAAAATGGAGATGCTGATTTGTTTGAGTAACACATTTAAAACAACAAATTACAAAGATGAACATGCCCACATTTTGCAAAAACTACACCCAAATTGTAACTCAGTGTTCAATTACCACTTAACAGAAATTCAAGTTAAGGGCATATACATTTTTGTTTAGATGAAAGTCCACATTTATTAACTCGAACTTTAATTAATTAACAGTTGACCGAATTTAAAGTCATCAGCAGCATAGATTTTTTGTTTTGTTTAATGTTCAAAATTAGTAACCCGAACTTTAACTAACAATTAATTGAACTTTGAGTACGGGCAACATACAACGTTAAACCCCCTCCAAAAAAACGTTGCCCTTCAAATCCATGTTCGGTCAACTTTAAAATAAAGGCTTGAGTTTCAAAATTTTGTTAACAGTTAATTAATTCTTAACATGAAGTTACCTGATGAACGGCGTCTAAAAACTGTAAAAATATTGGCGCAAATCCACTTCCTTGATGAGCTACCGTGTGATTGCTACGATGTGTAAATCGATGACCAAATGCTAACCACTCTTTCTCAACCAGCACATGAAATCCTTCTATCGTCCTGTAATGGGGATCAAGTAAGATCTGCACCAAAGAGATCACCTGAAATTTACAAAGTCAGATATTAGCTATAATTAGAAAATTTATGTAATAAAATGATGGTTGGTCGCTATGAAAATCAAAGAAAGATTAGAAAGAACTCTTGTGTACTGAAGGT